CCGTCGAACCTGTTCGAACTTCGACATCAGCTTCGAGCTTATAGTGCATGTAGAAATCAAATTTAAAGATTTACAGAGAAGGAGATGAATGGTATAATGCTACAATAGTGAAGGGGGCTTAGACGCATTCCCCAACTGGAGGATGCTTTTTGCTCCCTTCTTCTGTTGTTCAAGACCAGTGACCCTGGAAGAAATCCTTGAATGGAAGGGTTATATGCAGGTTTTGTATGATGGAAAGTGCCAGAGATGAGTGCTGTAGTGGTACTGTAATTCATAAATGCATACCCAAGTTATAACCATACAATTTACACTGCCCTTCAATATGCATAAAAAAAAATTGCCATCAACAGGGAGTAAGTACTTGCTAACCACTATATATCACTATACATTTGACCAACCACTATATATCAAGGCTTGTGAAATTGTGGCATCTAGCCAAGATGACCCTGACGTGAAATCTGTTATCGGGAGATTGGGTGGGTTTCATCTTTTAGTGTCGTTCTTGGTATGCATTGACTTTAATAATGGCTGGAAGTGGTCTCAAAGAAGTTTTGTGTACTGTTTTTGCAGCATATTCAGTAGACAAAACGCTGATTGGCCATGCCTGCATCAGAGCAGTGCAAGGACACCTGCTTGTACAGTGTGTTTTAGCTGCAATGATTCTGAACAGCCTAGAGGTCTCTGATGAACAGAAGGCTGAACTTCAAAAATTGTGGTCGAAATTCGAGGATGACATGCTCACCCAATATAAGATGAAGCAAAAAATGCAATTACACCTCTCTCAAATGCAAATTACGACTGAACTGTCATCATTTCAAGCCAGAGGCTTACTGCTGCCTTGAGGAAAATCAGTTCACTGAAACCAAATGTTCAAGGAACTGCATCTGTGCTCAGTGCAGGAAATGCTACCATACTATTATGCGAGTGGCCACCTGCAATATGCAAAATACACTCATTTACACCTTCAGGACATGCATTCTCTTTCCAATACTCATCCCCAGAAATTTGAAGATTTCCACATATACTTTTCACTATGTTCAGATTCACCCGGATCTGGAAACTGGTCTGATTATGACAATACAGCTCACTTTAGTGCACAATATAAAGGCCCGATACATAAGGTTGACATGTGGATGAAGGATAACCGACTCTGTATTGGCTAAGTGGATTGGTAAAGTTAGTTATATCAACATCAATTTGCTCTGCTTTGGAAAACTTTGCTGTCCTGCACTTCTTTATGAAAGGAGCACATGTAGATAACATATCTCGGCAGAGAAGAGATGATGACAGAAATTCATTTTTTTTTGTCAGTACCCTTCCTTTCCATAATCATGAGCATTAGTTTCCCTCACAATAGGCGTCGTTGCTAAACGTAATGTAAATTGCCCCAAAGCCCTACAAGAAAACAGTTAAAAATTAATGAGACACTAGAGACTACACTACAGAATCGAACACTTATTACCCCAAAACACTAACCAGGTCGAGTATGAACAACTGGAATTGACTGTATGCTTTTTCTCTCAAGTAACACTGGAGTTATACATCGGAGTTGTTACATTTAAACATAAGAGGCTAATAATATAAAATTAGGCAAAGTTACATAATATAATGAGGTGCAGTGGCTAGCACATCGCACAGCAGTACCACAGGTCCGGGTTTTGATTCCCAGGCTGGGCAAGGTCGACTCAACCTTTTATCCCCTGATTTTCATCACTTGGATCGATAAAATGAGTACCAAGTTCGCTTGGGTACTAAACACTGGGGGGTCCTGCGACCCCCAAGCTGACCACTTGTTCAAGGCATATGCTTATGCACCCTGGGGCCCACGGTCAAGAAAGCAGATTTCGGGGACTGCAGGCCTTGGCCCATTAGGGCTGTTACGCCACTGAGTTTAGTTTTTTTTAATATAACACAAACTATTGAAATCAAGGTTAAAACGAGAAAGATGATGGGGCAAAATTTTGGGAGGTAAAACAGGCTCGAAAAGACAAAGTCTCATTATTGGCCTCCATGAGCAGAACTATCAAAATTGACAATGTTGCAGAGGTGGTTGGTCATCTTGTAATATTTCAATGCGTAGCTATTTTCAAGAAAAACAATGAGGATCTAGAAGACCCTCTCAGTGATATTTAATCAATATGTTATTTACATAAAAAAAAAAAAAAAAAAAAAAAAAAAAAAAACCACTATGGTGAATGTTGCATTTTCATTTTTTATGTTTATTCTCACACTGTCAACAGCACAAAATGTGCAGGAAAAAACATCGAACCACCACCATCATCACATCAGTTGATATTGACTTTACTGAAGAGATGACAGTGACTGCTCAACAATAACACTTTTTAAGTAATGAAAAAAGTAAGGCTAGGTTTATCACTATGATAATAAAACCAGATTGAAGTATGCATTGGAAAAAGCAGAACTTGGTTGTTCTACTGTTGTCATTGGCGAGGATGTGGATCTGCTGGTCCTGCTGACTGCTCTAGCTCCAAGGGAATAAGAGATACAGTTTTCAAGTTAGGGAAGTGGAATAAGGAAAACAGAACTTGTTCCTCCATGGAATCGTAAGAACATGACATTGCCAAGAGCATCTCGTTCATTCACAGTTTTAACAGCTGTGATAAAACCTGTGCAATTTTCCAAAAAGGCAAATCATTGACTGCTAAATTATTCATGATGAAAAGCAACCAGTATTTCATCCCCCTCCCCCTTTTTTACACAAACATGTCAAAGAAAGTAGCAGGCACAGGGAAACATATATTCCTAACAACATACAATGCCAGAATAACAAACCTGGACAAACAGTGCTACTTAGCCTCTCTAAAATTCAACACATGGGTGAAAGTCTATTTGCAAGTTCAGGAATGGCTGGGCATTAAAGTGCCACCTACTGATTGGGTTTAAATGAGAGGGTCAGATGCAGATCTTCAAACGCTTGCCTACCTTGCATCACACTGCCCCAGCTACTCTCCTATCAACAATATTCTGCAGCTCCACCAAAGGCTGTGGATGCTGTAAGGCAGGCATTCATTGCTCTACAATATGCAGTTGTGACAGCATGTGCACCAATGGCCTTTCAGTTGAAGATGAGAATTCAGCATACGAGGACAACCCTGAAGACCCCTTGATACCCTAAAATGAACTGTTTGATGCAATCTACAATTAAATATACTCATAATGTAATTCAAATCATCAATAAGAAGTGCAAGGCAATTGTAGACTGTAATTTGGTTTTAAATGCGAATTTTTGAAATGTTTCTTCTGTCAGCCCAGTAACTTTTAACAGATTAATCCTAGGATAAAAATGCATAAGACCATTTTTGTAGGAAATTTTGTCAGCTTCAATTTGGTATATAAAGTACTTTTCTGTAGGAGTGACAGTTTCTGAGCTATCAGTCAAAAACTGAAGGAAACAAAGGACTTTTAAACCTCTCCCCCTCCTCAAGAGCTTCTTAACATATTAAACCAAGTTTAAAGGAAGTGTTTAAGAGCATTTCCAAAAACTGGATTTTTTCCCACTGATTTGTCTAATTTGACTGGGCTAAAAAGATAATATATACAATAATTTTAATGACTGCGGCTAATATAATTTTCTGGATCTATCTAGTAATTGATATGCAAATAAAGATGAAAAAGTGCATTTAATGCTTTTAAATAACTTAATTTGTTAATCAGTAACAAACAGATTAAATTTGAAATTAAAATTAAATATTTTACCGAATGGCAACACACATTATGGTATATAAACCAACAGTAGCAATACACTTCTTTTAAATAGCTAAGTTTGTTGATTAAATTTGGAAGATAAGTGTCTTATGCTTTGCTGAGTGGCAACATATTGCTTATAAATGCTCAGTTTCTTAATAGAAAATTCCTTAAATTCACAAACAGGAAATAACTGCAAAACAAATTCAAGCTTCCAGATGCATATGCTCAGTGGAAGACTACATATATGGAAAGTTCCACCATTATTTTACATGCTCAGAAGAAGACTAATTTAAAATTTGGTGGCTCTAGGTGCTGTTATTTTTTCACAACGCAAGGAACATACACAGAGATTCTGCATTATTTAATAATAGAGACAATCTATATTCTTACACATATGTGGTTAATACTGTGTACAACAGATATGAATAATTCAGAAGCTTAGACATTGTGAAGATACAAATAACTGCATTGGTTACAATTAAAGATAATACAAATTCAGTTTTACAAGCAAAAATAATATACTGTTTAGAAACATTCTTCAGTAAAGAGTTATAAACTCATACTCCTGTTAAAATTCATTTCTAACTATTATAATTATTAAAATTCATTTTAAATGTAGCCATGCAGTGGGTAATCATATATATTAATATTTAAATTTTATCATAAGTCTAATAAGTACCAGGCTAATAACATATGCATAAATTCAAACATTTTGCTAGTATATTAGCAGAAAGAAAATGCATGTTTAATCCTCTGAGTGCCATGACTGCCTTTATCTGGTCATTCAATATTTGGTCACTTGGCATACATTAGCTTACAATTTAAGGTATTTTACTTTCTTTAATAATGTAAATATCATCTTAATGAATGTAAGTTTATGAAAATAGAGACAAAAATAATTATACAAATTTAGCTAATAAAGGTTGTTTAAATACAGGTCTTTATGACAGATCCAAAAACACACGCTACTGATATGGTTATGCTGATAGACTAAACTGTGAATAAAAACTATGCATAATGCAAGAAAACTACATGCATATTAAAAACTATATGATATTTGAGGCAAAAGTTTAACTTTTCCCCTCATTATTATATTCAACTCTGATACAGTAAGTAAGCATACTGATTTATTTAATACACAAATTTCTATTTTTATTATTATTTCAAGACTGCTTTTTTACATAAACCAGAACATTTTGTTATTGTTTAGATACATGTACAGATTTTTGAAATATTTAAATTTTTGATTCACCATACTCTAACTTGCAATTAATATTTTATAAAATACTTACTTCTGCAATGAAAGCAGCAGCTTCTAAAACACTCTTTACATGACGCAACCAACCACTGCTTTCTAGACCATTTAAAAATGCATTCATAGAAGGAATTTTTAATTCACATGCTGAAAAATAAAATATATTTAGTGCTGCATAACTTGAAGGTTTATAAGTTGATACAAAAAATATTATTTATAACAGAAGTAGAAACTAAATACATAGAAAACAATAATAAATATCTTTTATGAAAAAACTGAAACAGCAATTTACTCGCGGTTGGGAAATGTGCAAGAAAATACAAATGAGAACTTTAAAAAATTAAAGGGCTTGTTGAAAAATGAGTGAATTCTGTTTTATTGAACTACTGTAATTTTTAAAAAAGGTTTTTGATTCTCTGAAAAGTATTCACAACACAATATATTATATTGCGAAAGTACACAACAAGGATGCCATCAAAACAGATTTATGCAGCAGCTCAAGTGTGTGTGCATACACAGCAGACAAATGCAAAATTCTGCCTCCAAATTCAAAAGTCATTTTCCCGATTAGTGTTTATTTTTGTAAATGAGTTATAAGATTTATTTACACTGGTGAAATAATTAAGAGAATTTTTATATTTGATCTATGATCTCCAGAACTACTGGAACAGATTTTAATAAAATTTCGTGTGAACATAGGTTGATATAATAGAAACAAAATAAACACTCAACTGTTATAATAGACATGTTATACATGTTTGTGTGTAACATGTCTCATGGGAGTCTAAAGGTCTGAAACAGTGGTTGCAGAAGACACAAAAGAAATGGGTTAATAGGGGGTATGGTCTCCTGTTACAGCCATACAGGCCTTGCAGCATGATATCACACTGGAAATAAGGCAGTTTATCAGTGCCTGTGGCAATTGATCCCACTCATTCACCAACGCTGTTTTCAGTTCCTGGATGGTTCTCAGAGGGGGTTGTGAGTTGCAATTGCCCTCCCCAGGGTTGCCACTCAAACAGAAGAATGAAATTCCCTGACTTTTCCACGTGTATTTTAAGAAAATTCCAGTCTATTTGCGTAATGCACATTGGCTGTGTTAAGAGGTAAATTAATTATGGTATTACTTGAAAATACAAAAATTTGCCAATTACATATGTCTTTATACATACATATATAAATTTCCAAAGCATTACTATTATAACTACAAAAGAAGTTGTTTCCTCCACTGAAGATTGAAATTAGAATCTGCCCAATCTGGATTAAAAAAGTCTTTTTGCAGCTAAAGGAAAGAAATTATTTAACGATATTTTTTAACAAATTCAGGTATTTTATATGTATTTAGCAGCATACAAAAGCAAAAAATATGTGCATTAAATTTCGTGATGGTATGCCATCATACTGCTGGAATTAATTTAAGTATTACGCCAAAGAAAAGTTTCTGAAATTTGAAAGTATTATTTACTAATAATAAATAAATTTAGAGGGAAGAAGCAACATTAAATGATACAAATAACATAAAAATAAAGATAATTACTTACAAATTGAATTAGAATAATCAATGATATTTTAGCAAATATAGCTATATTAAATGGTTAGCCTAGATGACTGATTACCATTTTTTTATTTTACAGCAAAATGATAAATAAGGCATTTATTAAAAAAAAAAAAAAAAAAAAAAAAAAAAAAAAAAAAAAAAAAGGTTTAAAAGATTTTGGGGTAAAATTCTAAGTAAGGCCTTGGCACAATTTTGAAAACTGTCACCAACACCAAAATGACCCATTTACTGCTCATCATAATTTCGTCAAATCCAGTGTGTACCATACATTAAAAAGAAAAGGGAAAAAAAAAAAAAAAAAAAAAAAAAAAAGGTTTAAAAGATTTTGCGGTAAAATCCTAGTATAGGGAAAGGCCTTGGTACGATTTTGAAAATTGTCGCCAACACCAAAATGACCCGTTTAATGCTCAACATAATGTCGCCAAATCCCGTGTGTACCATACATGGAGGTTAGAATAGAATACACGGATGTTATTCTAACCAAAGAACGTCTATGTAGAGAAGGAAAGGTTCCATAGATGTAATGCTAGTACGCTGCTAGAAAGCGGAGCAAAAATTTGCAAAGGGATTTGGCGACGGAACCTGATGGCCAGAATTTCCCTCTCCGCGATGTGTACAGAAAATTGAGGAACTCGTGTTCAGAAATGTTCTTTAACAAAACGTTTCTTCTTTGATTTTTCAAACTAATTTAAACACAGATTTTCGTAGGGTTTTTTTTTTTGGGGGGTGGGGTTCAAAATAACTAATCCATTAATTAATTTACTTGCATGAAAAAATATTTTCTTTTCCTTTAAAGTTTAAAGAAATTTTAAACGATATTCATTTTATGAACTCTTGATAACGTGACCTTCGAACTTTGACACGGGCTTCGAGCTTTGACGACAGATATTTCGCACGCAGCCATTTCCCTCTACGTTGGAATAGAGACACTCCTGTTGCAGAGAAGTTTTCCTCCTTAACAATACATATTCTTTGATTCTAACCTCCATGGTACCGTATACTAGGATTAAGCCGATTTTGTTTTATATGAGAATAAATATTTTGTTTAAGTCAACATGCACTGCACATGAGCATGCGATTCTCGAAGTTACTGAAAAGCAAAGCTGCTGGAAGCCTTTCTAAAAGACAATCTAATTGGAGCTGCAAAAATTGGCCCCATATATTTATTTAGATGATAAAATAATTACTAGTGAAATGATGGACGATAATATTAAAGACTTACTAAGAGAAAATGTGTCAAAGTGCAAATTCAAAGCCACAAAACTTTTATTTAGGATATAAAATATCGAAAAAGGGAACTGAAACAGAAAATTCAAATACAATAGTCATAAAAAATTATACTCCACCTAATACTGCTAAGAAGTTATTGTCCTTTTTAGACATGTGCTCGTAGTATAGCACTTTTATTCAAGATTTTGCTAAAATAGCTGAACCTTGTTAAAGCTAAAAAAAGAAGCCACATTTACTTGGTTGACCAAAGCAAATACAGCATTTACAGAACTTAAATAAGCATTAATTCAAGCACTGGTATTAAAGCTTCCTGAAGGTGATAAAAACTTGGAAATTGTTGCAGGTGCCTACAATTATGCAGTTGGTGCTATTTTGACTAGTAAAGGACAACTGGTTGCATATTTTAGTAGCACTCTCAATCACTCTCGCACAAAGAAATTATACGACTACAGAAAGAGAAACCCTAGCAGTATTGTTAGTTGTTCAAAAATTTAGAGTATATTTTGGGAAACCTTCAGTTACAATACATTCGAATCACATGACTGTGAGTCATCTGTTACTCTAGGAAGAATTTATCACCAAAACTTATTAGATGAACCCTTAAACTTTACGAATCCACCCTAATCATTAAACATATACCTCGGAAGGAAAATGTAGGGGTTAATGCATTATCAAGAATAAAATTATAAGAAGGAAACACAAAAAAAATCTTGATTTTCGTGAAAATATCATTGCAAAAGGACCCTGAATTTAAAAACATTTATGCTTATCTGAAAGATCCTGATCATTTTGAGCATCAGGACATTATGGAAATTAGAACTAGAGCCGTGAATTATGAAGTCACTGACAATCCCTTTTTATAAAACAACTACTAATGAAATCAATGAATTCAGACCAGTTATTCCAGTTAATTTAAGGCTGAGTGTTTAGCAGGAATTGCATGATTTGCCAATCTGCAGATAAGGAAAACAGTGAAGGAAGTTTCCAAGGTTGTTCTACAGCTACAACAGTTTGTTAGTCAGTATGTCAAGTCGTGATATTTGCCACTTAGTTAACAACATTAATTATAGCCTGGCAGAATACATAAATAGTATAAAAACTATGTTCCCAAATGAATTAATAGGAATTGACTTGTTAGGTCCATACCCACATAGTGAAGTCAATCAAAATATAAATTTATTCATTATCACAGAAGATTTTTCTAAGTAGTCTACCTCAAAAACTGTTTCAGAGAATGGGAAACAATTTGTTAGACAAATAGTTGAGGAACTATGCATATGGCTTGGCATACAGCATTTAAAAATGTTGCCTCATCAGCCACAGTCAAGCATAGCATAACAGATAAATAAGAATGTAGTTCAGATTATATGTCCCATTCTTGCCACTAGATGGCGGGCATCTCTTCCTTTTCTTTTTCTCTAATTGAGTTCTGAGAATGAGGCTAGATTGGATCCACTCTGAAAAGCGTAAAGACGAAACTTCAGACTCAGAAAAACAATTAAAATGTACTGTCTTAAAATACGAGGGCTATCCAGAAAGTAGATTACGTTTTGGAATAAAAAAATAAACAAAGTATAGGAAACAAATTTTATTATATACATCATGAAAGCACACTAAAATACTACTTTTCTACATAGTCACCATACAAATTAAGGCATTTATCGTAGCGATGTACGAGCTTGGAAATTCCTTCGTCGAAAAATTCGGCCGCCTGCGCCTTCAAACCACTTCGTTACCTCTTCTTGCCTTCCATCTTGCACAAAACTTGTGGTAACCAAGCTTTTCGCTGATGATTTCGTGCAACAAACTTCGCGAAATTTGTGGAAAACTCAAAGAAAGTTCCGTTATTGTGAAATTTCGATTTTCACGGACTTTAGCATCGACTTTTTCGAGAAGTTCGGCGGTCACTATGCTGGGTCTCCCACTTCGATCTTCGTCGTGAACATTGGTTCGGCCATTTTGAAATCTTATGACCCACTGACGCACTCCACCTTCAGTGATAATGTTGTCCCCATACACTTCACGAAGCTGCCGATAGATTTCTATCGGTTTACAGTTTTTTGCAGTCAGAAACCTTATTACTGAGCGCACCTCGCAGCTCGCGGGATTTTCAATTAACGCAGACATTTCAAACTGTCACAGTATCTGAACGGAGCACAGCACGAACCTCTCACTAGCACGGCTAGATGCAGACTGAGCTGCGCAATGCTCTGACCCCAAGATGGCCGCGCTAGCCCCGCCCCTAGCGGACACAGACGGAAACATAATCTACTTCCTGGATGGCCCCTCGTAATTATACCTACCTTGTAAATAGTGTATATTAGTGTTTTATTTGAATAAATAAGTAAAAGACAAGATG